AACGTCGCGCCCAGCCCGCAGCGCGCCGAGCTTCGGCGGCAGCGTCGGAACCCCGCGGCCGCCCGGGTTCGAACTCAGGCGAAGCGACTGGGTTCCGGGCCCAGCGGGCCGAGCGGCGCACACGCGGAGGCCCTCACGGGAGAGCGAGAGGACGGAATCCGGGACTCCCTGCCCGGTCCCCCGGCCCGACGCGCAAACTCACCATGGCTGCGATCCGGCGGGCACGCCGCTTCCAGCTCACGAGCAGCCGACGTCAGAGAAGCCGGAAGACCGCCCCAGCGGAGCGGAAACCGCCGGGTGGTGCCGGAAGCGGAAGTGGCGTCACACTAGGCGGGGCGGACCTCTCCTTAGAGGGCGTATGCGGAAGTGGCCTCCGACTTTGCTGATTGGATCTACGTTGCTGTTTGTATTAGCATCCTGTAACTTCCTCAACAGTCACAAAGTAGCTCACCCAGTCCAAGCGTTGCTATTTCGTGATTAGGTCGCTCCTTTTTGTGTGTGCCAACCCTGGGGGGCTTGAACTCAGGGCCTGGGCGCCGTCCCTGAGCTTTTTTTGCTCAAGCCTGGTGCTCTACCGCTTGAGCCACGGCTCCACTTCTGGTTCTTTGCTGGTTGCTGGCTTTGAACTGCCATCCTCAGATCTCAGCCTCCTGGGTAGTTAGGATTACAGGCATGAGCCACTGGCACCTGACTCTAGTTCATATTGAGGACAATCTTGTGATTTTTTCATAACCATCTTTCTGATTCCATGCGAGTAAGATAATAGGTACTCCAAATGGTTTTCTTCATTTTCAGGTATCTTTTCTCAACTTTTCCCCCATAAGGAGTACGGTTAGAATCTACTGAGTGGGGAATTACAAAAGAATAGCTGAGTTATGGGTGAAGAATAGGGTTTGAATTACTGTTGCTTGTATTTATGGGTGTCTTAAGACATTGGCTTCTGGTCAGCATCTTGTTATTTTTCCAGTGCTGCTAAATTTAGCTTTAAGGTAAACTCATACCTTACAACTCCCTAGAGGTCCTCCTTGAACTTATGCCCCCTTCATTTTTAAATCTCTTTCCAACATGATGCCACACACAACTTGGGATGACCCAAGATGAGAGAGTATCCAAAAGACATAACTGGACCCTGGGATTTTTTACAACTGATAGGGGTTATTTATTTAACCACATCTGGTTACTGTGTCTGAGATATTTAGGGGCATCAGACAACAGGAAGGCTTTGAAATGGCTTTAAGGAAAAAATTAATTGCATTAAAGATCCCTGCCTTCATCAAGTTTCACCTCATGAAAATCTCATATGACTTGTCAAAAAAGAAAATCTCTGAAGAGTATACACGGATGGCTCCAGTTTAAGAACTTGTGACATGAACTCTGTACTTCACCTCTCAGAACCTGTTTCATATCTCCATTTTGTTTGGACTTATCAGCCACCACTGTTGGGGAACCAAACCTATTTGTTCCAATTTGCAGTAATAAATATGTCCTTAGTTACTTCTAACTGTCCTTTATACCAATTTATGATTATTATTGGACAATCACATCCAGCTCTCCCTTGTAATGACTGATAGAGACATATTTTTATGACCATGAGTAATGACTGACATGGTAAAAGTTACGTTGTGATTACCTAATTCTTGAGCTAGGTGCAGGTGGTGAATGTCTATAATCCTAGCTACTCGGGAGCCTGAGATCTGGTTCTTAGCAGGCAGGAAATTCCATGGTTTTTTTTGGGTTTTTTGTTTTAATTTTCTTCAGTCATGGGGGCTTGAACTTAAGGCCTGAGCACTGTCCCTCAGCTTTTTCGCTCAAGGTTAGAGGTCTACCACTTTGATCCACAGTACCACTTCTGGTTTTCTGGTGGTAAATTGGAGATAACAGTCTCATGATCCTCAGATCTCAGCTTCCTAAACAGCTAGGAGTACAGGCCTGAGTCACCAGCACCCAGCGCCATGGCTCGGAACTCTGGGCCTGAACGTTGTCCCTGAGCTCTTCAGCTCAAGGCTAGTGCTCTACTGCTTGAGCTACAGTGCTACTTTCAGCCTTTTCTGCTTATGTGGTGCTAAGGAATCGAACCCAGAGCCTCATGCATGCAAGACAAGCACTCTACCACTGAGCCACCTTCCCAGCCCTCCTCCATGAGGCTCTTATCTCCAGTTAACCACCAAAAAGCTAAAAGGGAGCTGTGGCTTATGTGGTAGAGTGCCATCTTTGAGCAAAAAAGCTGAGACAGTGCCCAGGCCCTCAAATCAAGCATCAGTGTCAGGAGAAAAAAAAAAAAAGACAAATGGAGGAAGAAGCCAATAGAGAAAAAACAATCAGGCTGAGCACTGGTGGCTCAGGCCAATAATCCTATCTACCCAAGAGGCTGAGATCTGGGGCTGGGAAGGTGGCTCAGTGGTAGAGCGCTTGCCTTGCATGCCTGAGGCCCTGGGTTCGATTCCTCAGCACCACATAAGCAAAAAGAAAAAAAAAGCCGGAAGTGGCACTATGGCTCAAGAGGTAGAGCGCTAGCCTTGAGGTGAAGAGCTGAGGGACAGTGCCCAGGCCCAGAGTTCAGGCCCCAGGACCGGACCAAAAAACAAACAAACAAACAAGAGGCTGAGATCTGAGGATTGTAGTTCAAAGCTAGCCCAGATGGGAAAGTCCATGAGATGCTTTATTTCGAATTAGCTACCAGAAAACTAGAAGTAGAGCTATGACTCAAAGTGGTAAAACACTGATCTTGAGCAGAAAAAACTCAGGGACAGCACTCAAGCCCTGAGTTCAAGCCCCATGACTGACAAAATAAAAAAAAATACATCTTGAATACATCTCATTCTCATACATGGAAGGATCTTAATCTCTTTACTCCAGAGAAGAGAGATATTTAAAACAAGTTTTAACTTCTCTCCATTCCTTCTAGGCACATCTCCTAACACCATTCTTCTGTACACTGAGGGTACACAGCCAGGAACAGTTGCTGGAGCCAAAGCTCCTTTGTGATGTGGCCTTAGTGACAGAGGTGCTATGAAACAGGGGCTACCCCGCCCCACACTGGCTGAGTCAACCACCCCAATGCTGCCCTTTTGTAATCTTAACATCATCTGCCATGTTGCTGCCGCTGCTGGGTGCCTGTGCTGTAGTGGGGCCATTCCAGGGTCCTGAATGGGAACCAGTGAGGGGTCTACTCGCCCAAGATTGCAGCTGCAAGGACCCCCGGTGCTGTGGGAACCTGCTGGTCCTGTGCCTCTTTCTGATCTGGCAGATCCGGCACTGTTGGCACTGTATCGTCAGGACTCGTTCCTGCAAGAGGAATGCCACCAAGGTAAGGGGAATTCAGATGCCTCTCATCATCATCATCATCATCATCATCATTGCAGTCACTTGCTACACTGCCCCTTTTCTATCTTCTGCATACTAAAGATGCATGGCAGAGTGGCTCAGACTGGCCAGGATGCTCACCTTCAAAGGCTCCAAACCCAGGACTCATCCTAGACTCCTTTCACTCCCTCATTCCACCCATTTTATCCACCTGCTAGTTGTAAGAGCTCTATGTGCAAGCTAGTATCTCAAATCTGATCAGTTACCTCTAGAGACTTCATCGCACCATTCCGGGCAGCGCCACCAGTATGTATCAGCTGGACCTTAGTAATAGCCTTCTGTTTGATTCTTGTTGCCTCTCTGACAAAGCCACTACAATAAAAGTGTGTGTGTGTGTGTGTATGTGTGTGTGTGTGTATTTGCTGATACTGGGACTTGAAGTTGGGGGCCTAGGAACTCACCCTTAGCTTTTTCTGCTCAAGGCTTAGCACTCTACCACTTGCGCCATAGCTCCACTTCTGGATTTTGATTGTTAGTTGGAGATGAGTCTCACTTTTTCTGCTGTCTTCAAACTGTGGTGGTTAGAGCTCAGCCTTTTGAGTAGCTAGGATTACAGGCATAAGTCACAGAGTGACTAGCTTCACAATGATTTTTTTCCTTTCTCTTTCTCTGGCAATATTGAGTTTGAATGCAAGGCCTCATATATGCAAAACAGATGCTGTTTGAGCCACTCCACCAACCCCTTCTCTGTAAAACAAAATTGAGTGGGATTGGAGGCATGGCTCAGGTGGTAGAGCACCACCAAATGAGTAAAAGTGTCAGATACCAAGTTCAAGTCCTGGTTTCAAACAAAAAACGTTGAATTTAGAGATAACACACACACACACATATTACAAGTGTACATGCCAGTAAGTTTTTCACAAACTGAATATACTCTTGTGCAGCACCTACATTAAGAAACAGACCACAATCCAGGAACCAGTATGGCTCACTCAAGTAATCCAAAGCTAGCCTGGGCAAAAAAGTCTCTGTGACTACTATTGTCTCTTAAGCAACAAAAATGCTGGTATGGCTGAAATGGAAGAGCACCTGTCATGAATGAAAAAAAAATGTTTGAAGCCCCTTGTTCAAGCTCTGGTAATGGCACAAAAACCGTATCTGTAGTCCTAGCTAACTGAGAGTTGGAGGTCAGCTTGGCAAAGTAGCAAAACCCTATCCCAAAAAACAAAAGAGGCTGGGCGTCAGTGGCTCATGCCTGTAATCCTAGCTACTCAGGAGGCTGTGATCTGAGGACTGCGGTTCAAAGCCAGCCTGGCAGGAAAGTCTGTGAGACAAAACACTCAGAAAACTGGAAGTGGTGCTGTGGCTCAAATGGTAGAGCTGAAGAGCCCCATGACTGAAAACAACCAACCAAACAAAACGGGGCTGGGAAGGTGGCTCAGTGGTAGAGTGCTTTCTTTGCATGCATGAGGCCACCCTGGGTTCAATTTTTCAGCACCATATAAGCAGAGCGCTAGCCTTGAGCTGAAGAGCTGAGGGACAGTGCCTAGGCCCAGAGTTCAGGCCCCACGACAGACAAACAAAACAAAACACCAAACAACAAAAAACAAAAGGATTAGGAGTTATGGAACATTTGTCCAGCAATCATAAGGCCTCAAGGAAGAAAGGAGGGAAAGAGAAGAAAGAAAAAGGGAAAGAAGGAAGAAAAAAGAGAGGAAGGAAGGAAGAAAAGTGGGGGGAAGGAGAGAAGGGAAGAAGAGAGGGAGGAGAGGGAAGGGTGATTTGGCGGGAAGGTTAGACTAGTTTGTTTGTCTTATCTACCTTGGGGCTTGAATTCAGGGCCTTGGCCTTATACCTGAGCTTTTGTTCTCAAGGCTAGCACTCTACCACTTTGAGTCATAGCTCCACTTCTGGTTTTCTGGTGGTTACTTGGAGATACGAATCTCATAGACTTTCCTGCCTGAGGAGGCTTTGAACGTGGATCCTCAGATCTCAGCCTCCTATGTAGCTAGGATTACAGGCATTGGCATCTGCCTCAAATACTTTTTAATACCAAACACTATGTTATATACTTGTGCATTGCCTTTTCTAGAATATAGATTCCCTGCTTCTATGGATACCTCAGCATCCAGAACAGTACCTGGGCTCAGAGTCTCCTTTTATTTGGGGCGGGGGGGAGGAGCAGGGGGAACGAATATTGTTTGTTTCAAGGGAAGCCACTCCTCCTTTTCGGAGCCAAATATCCTGGTATTGGGATTGCTATTCTAGATCTATGGGGGTGGGGTATGTGAACTAAGAGTGTGCAAATTCTAACCTACAGGTCCGACCAAAGAAGCGGGCGATGCCCTCTGAGAGACATGACACTTCCTTTGGGATGCCTTCTCGATTCTTCCATCCTGACAAGCTCAAGGATACTCATGTCCAGCAGTTGGCAGAAAAGCAGAGAAGCCTCCAGAAGGCATGGGTCCAATCCCTACTCTCACCACAGCAGCCGTGTCAGGACCCGCCTTGGGATGTCCACACGCTCTCTGAGTCCATTTTTTACACCTCTTCCTTTGCAAGTGCCTGTCTTCTCCCTCAGGACAGTTCTTCAGAAGCAGAGAGGATACCCTGGAGTCTCAGAGATTGTGAGACTCATCTTCGCCTACACACATGCCGACAGGTGAGAAAGCTGCTGGTTCACTCCCAGGAGAAGCGGGTGCCAGCAGAACCTGCAGGTAGCTTGAGGTACCCCACCGCCATGACCTTGGCCATGTCCCTCCCAAATCTTTCAGCTCAGAGGCTGCCGTTCTTCCACAGAGCGTTCCTGCCTGATCCTCCCAACCTACAACAGGAAATGCCCACCTGGATGTCCTCAAACAGCCCTCAAGAGAATGAGGTGCCACAGAGTGAAACCCAGGTCCTGGGCAGAGAGAATAGTGGAGAGACGCAGGCCCCATGGGGTGTGAACCAGAGAGAGAGCCCAGGGGAGGATGCCTGTGGAATCCAAGAATCCAGGGGCCAACTCTTTGGAGGTTCTAGAAGGAAGGATGGTGTAGTAGCTAAGGCCCTGGGGTACAAAAGCCTGAAGACATTAACAAATAAAATGGATGGAAAGATCTGGACACCAGTATGGGAGAACCAGGACCATGGAGGAGTTGAAACTCGAACCCCAATTGCAGAGCGAGGGAAGAAAAACCAGAAAGAGGTTGAAGATAAAAAGGTGACTCAGGCTCACCTAGGAGAGAACCAAGAGGGAGTAAGGTGGCAAACAGATGCTGAGACCCAGACACCAGAGTGGGAGAACCAGGGAAAGACCGGCAGTGAGGAGGTTGTAGAGATTCTGTTGTTTGAGACAAAAGAGACCAGGAAGGAGGGAAAAGGAGAAATCCCACTCCAAGGCTGCACTGGAGGTGAGAATGAGAAGTCCCAGATGCCACAGCAAGACACACGAGACCAGGCTGGCATTGACACTGGTGCAGAAACTGAGGCCGAGGAGAGGAGAAATCAGGACCAGGCTGGAAGCGCAGGTGCTGTACAAACCCAGACATCGGAAAGGGAGAACGTGGGAGAAACCAAACAAGATGATGATGATGATGATGATGATGATGCAGGGGCCCAGGCCCTTGAGTGGGGGAAGCAGGGATATATAGGAATTGAAAAAATCCAGACACCAGTGGGGGAGAAGCGAGGTCACAGTGGAAACGAGAAAGCCAGGGACACCCACAAAGTTAGCAAAGAGGAGCAGAAGCTATCAAGACATGCAGTTCATGGGGGACGGGATAAAGCAAGCCTGGGAAGAGACCGGGAAGCTGAGAAATGCCAGATATCTAGACGGAAAAAGCACAGGGAGATAAGACAGGAGGACTGGGTGGTGATCCAGGCAGCATGGTGGGGAAACCAAAGACTCATAGCAAGTGAAATTCACCGCGAATTTGACATACCACATTGGGGAACTCAGATGCAGTTTGGTGGTGAATTCAGGGCAGAGATTCAGGTACCAGAGAATGACCGGAGAAAGGGTGGAGACAAGGATGGCACATACATCCTAGCACCTGAGGCCAAGAACCAAGGACACTTAAGATGTAAAACTGACATGGACAATCATCCAGCAGAGAGGAAGTCCAAGATTAGAGATGAGAATGGAATTGATTTTCAGTCACTAGACGAGAGAAACCTGAGAAAGGTTAAAGGTGAAGATGGCCCAGACACCTGGGAACTTGGGCAAGAATATCTGGGTCAACTAAGAAATAAATTTCACCCAAAGATACATATATTGAAGTGGAAGAGTCAAGAACATATTAAAGGCAAGGATGATGAAGATACCCTGACATTGGAGGCAGAAAAATGGGGAGAATTAATGAGTAACTCTGGTGGAGAAATCCATTCATCAGAAGGGAAGAAAGCAGAGCAGGTTGGGAGTGAGAATGATGCAGAAACTCATATACAAATCCCGAGAGAAGCTGGAGTGGAGGATGCTACAGAAGTCAGGGAAGCTGGGGAAGGAAGCCAGAGTCAGCTGGGTTGTAATAGAGATGATTACACCCATTGGTCAGAGTGGAAGAACAAGCCAATAGGAATTAAGGATGGAACAGAGAAGAGAAACCAGAGAGAACCAGGAGGAGAGGATGATGTAAAGAAGGAGGGCCATAGACAGTTGGAGAGTGAAAGGGGGAGCTGTTCCCCAGGTAGGAAGAGCTGGGAGCTTCCTGGAACAGAGAACCCTGCAGAAAAGCAGGCATCCACGAGGAGAGGCCAAAGAAGGGCTAGAGGTGAAGATGGGAGAAAGAGACAGAGTTTTAAAAGAAAGAAGCAGAGACTGATACGAAGCAAAGTTAACCGAAAGATCTGTTCAGTGAAGCGGAAGAAGAACCAGGTACAGATCAGAGGTAGAAATGGAGCAGAAATCGAAACGCAGGGGAAGAGAAATGTGAGGAAAACCACAGATGATGGTGGCACAGACACCCAGATACCTGTGGAAGACGACCAAGAACAAGAGAGCCAGACACGAGGGCACGAAAACCAGAAGAAGGGGGAATTTGAGGATGCTGGAGAAATCCAGGATGTCAGGAACCAGAGAAAGGGCAGAAGGGAGGGGCCTGGAGGGTCTGGAATACCGAGGAGCGGAGACAACAAGCAAGTCAGAGGAAAGGAGGCTCGCAGGACCAGTCTCCAAGGTGACTGTTCTGCCAATGATGTGCCCTCGGGCAGGATGCATAGCCTGGCACACTCCCCAACTCCCGTTGCCTCTAGATATGAGACTCTGAAACACAGGCAGACAGTGACAGTAAATAGTGTTATCTCTGCCCCCCATTCTGAGATGGAGCACAAAGCTGGGGTCCCTTCGATGGCTGGACTTAGATCCCAGAGAAGACAACCAAGGAACCCCTCCAGTCACGCATGGCAGTCCCAGAATCCACAGTCTTCGGCGCTCTCCACCTGCCCTCCTCCCCCATGCGGCCAAGCTCCCCAAGATGCCACAGCTTTGGTGGGTGCCTCCACTGCCCTCCACGTCATACCCACTTGGCCAAGCCTCAGGAAGAGCAAACGGCTGCTACTGGAGTCCCTCATGAGGCGGAGGATTGCACACTTGAGATGGGGCCTCCCTTGGAGGATCCTGGAGTCTTATTTGCTCTTTAACTACTCGAGACCTTGCTCTTTGCCTGTGGCTGAGGTAAGGCTGCCAGGGTTATGCACAAACCAGGAGCTCCAAAGGCATGGTGGCATCCAGAGCTCCATGTCAGGCCTTAAGTCTCCAGAGAGATCCCAAAGCCTTCCACCTCCTGAGAGAAAAAGTGCAAAACTCCCCACACAGGCCAAGCCTTTGGGGACGTGTAGACCCCTCAGGTCAGAGTCAGTGGGCAGCGCCATTCCACCCGTGAAGCCCAGGAGAACCAAGCCACCAGGGGGAGCCAGAGAACCACAAGTCCAAGAAGAGGCTGCCAAATCTAAGGTCCTTGCTCCCAGGAACCCCAGATCGGCTTCAGAGTCTAGGAGCAGGTGTGGCCCTGTGAGAGTACTGGATCTTTCCAATGAGATCCTCAGAGGCCGGGAAATGATCGGGACAGGGGTCTCCTTGATGGCAGAGGGGGCTTCCAGCAGAGTGAGGATCTCATCCTCCAGGGCTGATCAGGATTACTGGAAGGAGGAGCGTAGGTCCTGGGGATCCCCTGAGCCCTTCAGACCCCAGAGTTGGTCATCTACATACCACAGAAGAGGAAGCTTGGAGGCTGTAAAGGGCAGAGGGCCTGGGGGACAACTTTCCTTCTGTTCCATGGAGACCTCCAGCCTCGAAGGAAACGTCCACCCTGTTGTGGCCAGGACAAGCATGTCTCTGCCAAGCAACATATCCTGGTCCCCTCCACAGCTGGCCAAGGCCCAGCACTCAGCCCCCAACTTGACCTTGAGAAACCCTATGTTGCTTCCACAAGGGGGTGACCCACATTCAAGGGAGGACATCATTGGAATTCAAATGGCTTTAGAGAGAGACTCTCAGCCACCAGGGTATTTCTGTGCTGGGGTAGCTTTTCCTCAGACAGAGCACAACAAGGACGGGGAGACAGCTGAAAAGATAAACTGGGGTCCACGAAATCCACCAGCCCCCCGGAAGCTTGGTTTTATAAAGCGGTTGAAATGCTTTATCTTCCAGTGTGGCTTAAAAAAGTAGGCCACTGGTCCCATGTCCTTACGATGCACCAGAGAAGGAATGAGAGTGAATTACTCATCTCCAGAGCCTCTAATAAAATTGTTTTCTTGGGGTTCTGTAAGGATTTCTTTGGCTTATGTTTTCTGAAAGCTACCTTTGGAAGCTTAACAATACTCTGTGGATGAGGTAGAAGACACTTATCGCCTGTGGTTTTTTGTTTTTATTTAAAAATTTGTTATTGTAAAGATACTGTACAGAAGGGTTACAGTTACATGATCTCTGGTGGCTTTTGAGATTTGGGAAATGTGGGTCAACCCAATTTTTTTGTGTGTGTGCCAATCCTGGGGCTTGAACTCAGGGCCTGGGCACTGTCCCTGAGCTTCTTTTGCTCAAGGCTAGCACTCTTACCACTTGAGCCACAGTGCCACTTCCAGTTTTTTCTGTGTGTGTGGTACTGAGAAATCAAACCCAGGGCTTCTACCATTGAGCCACATTCCCAGCCCTCATGTCATTTCTTAAGCACTTGTCCAGCATAATCTCATAGAGTACACTGAGGTTTCTAGTATGGTTCTGTCCTGGCCTAGTCTCAAGCTGATTCTGAGGCTGGATAAACAACCACAAGGTTGTGTGAGTGGGGTACTTGAACTCTGCATGGGACACAATTATTCAGGTAGTTCTGATTACAAGAAAGGGAGGTGATTGTGGGCTGTCCTGCTAGGGTTTTGCTGTCTGTAAACTGATTTACTGCAAAAAAAATTTTTTGGTCAGTTGTGGGGCTTGAACTCTGGGCACTGCCCCTCAGCTCTTCAGCTCAGGCTAGCACTCTACCACTTGACCCACAGTGCCACTACTGGTTTTCTGAGTGGTTTATTGGAGATAAGAGTCTCATGGAGTTTCTTGCCCAGCATGGCTTTGAACCGTGATCCTCAGATCTCAGCCTCTTGAGTAGCTAGGATTATAGGTATGAGTCACCGGCGCCTGCTTACAAAATTTATCCTTAGCTCTTCAATGCTCAAGTATTGTCTTCTGGCGCTTCTCTAGATAAATTCAGCAGGGTGGGGTGCTGGTGGATCTTGCCTGTAATCCAAGCTATTCAGGAGGCTGAGATCTGAGGATGGTGCTTTGACTCTAGCCTAGAAAGACAAGCTGGAGAGAGACTTATCTCCAATTAACCAGTAAAAGTCTGGAAGTGGAAGTGTGGCTTAAGTGGTACTGCAGGGGGGAGCACCAGATGTAGGCTTTTACAAAAGCCAAGCCAGATTGTAGGCCCTGGATTTAAATCTCAGTACACACACACACACACACACACACACACACACGTGCCCATTCTCCTTGATATATATAGTTTATTGCATTAAAAAATAGAAGTTTCCTGGGCTGTGAAGATGGCTCAGTGGTAGAGCGCTTGCCTTACATGCATAAGGCCCTGGGTTTGATTCCTCAGCACCACATAAGTAAAAAGAAAAAAGCTGGAAGTGGCGCTGTGGCTCAAAGGGTAGAGCACTAACCTTGAGCTGAAGAGCTGAGGGACAGTGCCCAGAACCAGAGTTCAGGCCCCACGACCGGACCGCCCCCCCCAAAATAGAAGTTTCCTGACCTTTTTTTTTTTTTTTGTCAGTTGTGGGGCTTGAAATTTGGGCCCAGGCACTTTCCCTCAGCTCTTTAGCTCAAGGCTAGTGCTCTACCACTTGAGCCACAGTACCACTTCCAGTTTTCTGATGGTTCATTGGAGATAAGAGTCTCACAGACTTTCCTGCCTGGGTCTGGCTTTGAACTGTGGTCCTCAGATCTCAGTCTCCTGAGTAGCTAGGATTACAGGCTACAGGCATGAGTCACTGGCGCCCAGCACCTAACCCTTTTAAAATCTGCTTTGAAATGCTTTTTTAAATTACTATAATTAAATAGTTGCACAAAGAAGATTCAAGTCCATAAGTCAGGTTATGAGTACAGTGCTTCTTAGTCAATGTCTCCCCTTTATTCATCCTCCCCCATTTTTCCCTCCTGTCCCTACCCTCAAGCTACATAGTTCATTTTTTACATAGTGCACATTGAATATAATGAGTACATTTGCTCACCCTTCCTCCCTCCATTCCTGTGCCCCATCTCTTTGCCCACCCCCCAAAACATGTTTCCATTTCCTATCATTTGATAAATGGTACTCTAGCTGTTCAGAGGAGTTAGGCTTTTGGGTTCCTCCCCTAAGTACACCCTCCTTCAGTCAGTTTGTGTGTAAATGCATTGAGCCCTATAGTTACTTTTAAAATGCTTTTTTAAAATGGTGGTGGGGACTTGAACTCAGGGCCTCTTGCTTGTTTTTGTTTTGTTTTTTGGTCGTGGGGCCTGAACTCTGGGCCTGGGCGCTGTCCCTTAGCTCTTCAACTCAAGGCTAGCACTCTACCACTTGAGCCACAGCACCACTTCAGGCTTTTTCTTCTTACGTGATGCTAAGGAATCGAACCCAGGGCCTCATGTATGCAAGGCAAGTACTCTACCACTAAGCCACCTTCCCAGCCCCACCTTGCTTGGCTTTTTAAAACTTTTTCTTGCTCTTGTTTGTCTGTGGCTTGAACTCAGGGGCCTGCACACAGTCTCTTAGCTAACTTTATTTGTTAAGGTGAGTGCTCTACCACTTGAGCCACACCTCTACTAATGGCTTTTGGTGGTTAATTGGAAAGAAGTCTCACGGATTTTTCTGCCCTCCTTGGCTTTGAACTGCGAACCTCAGTTCTCAACCTCCTGAGTAGCTAGGATTACAAGCAGGAGCCACCAGTGTCCAGTGATGTTCACCCTTCCATGGGGCTGTGAACCAATTCCTGGGGGGCCTAAGCACACCCGCTTTGGGCTTAGTTGCACTCGCTCCACGTGTTACAAACTTCAGCCAGCGGAGGGGTGGGGGTGGGGGTGGGGGGGGAAGAGGGCGCCACGCGCAGGCGCACTAAGAATTCATGCCAGCACGCCCACGCAGGCAGGCTCTCTACCAAGTGCGCTTGCGCACAATTTGAGCGGGAAAAATCCTGAAGCCTGAGCACGCCAGGCGCCGAGGGCTGTGAGGCAGATGGCGGCGGCGGGCGCTCCAGGATTACGGCGGCGGGATGAAGACGTGGTGCTGCTGCTCGAGAGAGCCCATTACCGACATGACCCGCGCTGGCTGCTGCCCGTGGCCCCGCGCCTGTGCCTGGCCTGCACACTGGAGCTGCTACAGGAGCAGGGCGTGTCGGTGCGGGTGAAGCCCCTTCCCCTGCCGGCCCGGGTGTCGGCTTTTACCCCCCCACTCCCACCCCAGACCTGCCCCTGCCGGGCTGGGGCCCACGGGCGTCTTCCCGGAAGGGAAACCCGGCCTACTTAACCTCCCCCGGGGCCTGGGCCTGCCCCTCACCTGGCTGAGGCCGCCATTGCTGCCCCACCCAGGGTGCCCAGCATGCCGTCCCTTTCCAGTAGGAAGCCTCCTTCTCTTCCACTATGGGAGGCTGTAAGTGGGGAGACATTGCCTTGGTTTTCATGATGGCAGCCACAACAGAGGTTCCTGTCAGGCAGAAAGGGGGTGTACTGGCAAGATCTTCCTGATGGGCAGAACACGGCTGCTTGTACCCTCCACCCACCTGCGCAATGAGTTCTTTCAGATTTCTCTCAAATTCGCGCGAAGGGGGCTGGGAAGGTGGCTCAGTGGTAGAGCGCTTGCCTTGCATGCCTAAGGCCCTGGGTTCGATTCCTCAGCACCACATAAGCAAAAAGAAAAAAGCCGGAAGTGGCGCTGTGGCTCAAGTGGTAGAGCACTAGCCTTGAGCTGAAGAGCTGAGGGACAGCGCCCAGGCCCAGAGTGCAAGCCCTCCGACTGGACCCCCCAAAAAATTTGTGGATTCAAATTTGTGCAAAGGGAATTCATATCTTGGTGGTGGAGCCAGATTAATGGTTTGCTTTTAATCTCAAGTTGCTTTTATACCTTGTGTGTGTGTGTGTTATACCGCGCGGGCGCGTGTGTGTGTGTGTGTGTGTGTGTGTGTTGGTACTAGGGCTTGAACTTGGGGTCTTGCATTCTCTGCTGATGCTCTATTGCCACAATCACAGGTCCATTTTGGGGCTTGAACTCAGGGCCTAGGTGCTGTCTCCAAGGCTTTTTGCTCAAGGCCAGCGGTCTACCACTTCAAGCTACTTCAGTTTTCTGGTGGATAATTGGAGATGAGTTTCAGGGAATTTACTGGGGCTGGCTTTGAACCAGTATTCTCAGATCTCAGCCTCCTGAATAGCTAGGATTAAGGCACAAGCCACTAGCACCCAGCCAGTCTAGATTTAAAAAGAATTTATTTTATTTTATTTTTGTTGGTTGTTAGGCTTGAACTTGGGGCCTGGGCGCTGTCCCTGAACTCTTTTTTGCTCAAGGTTATCCCACTACCACTTTGAACTATGATGCTACTTCTGTTTTTTTTCTGGTGGTTAATGGGAGATCAGAGTCTCACAGACTTCTGCTGGGGCTGACTTTGAACTGCAAGTTTTCAGATCTCAGCCTCCTGAGTAGCTAGAATTACAACATGAGTCACTAGTACCAGAATAAAAGAGTGGTTTTGAAGCGTGAAGTGTTTTATAAATATAAGGTATGCTCCCAATGGGGAGTGTGCATCTCCCCATACTCATCTTCCAGTTTAGATGACACTTGAATACTATATTGTAATTCGGGAATGATAGTTGTTGGGTTCAGATGACCTAGACTTAGTTGCTCCTGAGTGTTTCTCTTCATTTTTTTCAAAGTTGGTACGCAAAAAACATATGCTGTCCTGCTTCCGAGATGCCCTTGTGAAACACACCTCCTTGGTCATGCAGCTGGTGGCTCAGGACCAGGAAGTCTGCGTCTATTTCATAAGCATGCTTTTTGGTGAGATCAGAAGGGAAACTTGGCATGAGTTTTGAATGTAAAGCTGGCATATTTGTTTTGGGGGGAATCTTGGGGAAATGGTTTTGGAAGATGATGTTTATATTGTTAACAGTTTAATTGACTAGCTTTTCATTTTGTCATAATGATGGAGATAAGGCTCCCTTTCTAAGATATATGATTTATCTTATGGCAATGAGCCTTAATATAGCTAAGAGGTTAATAAAGTATGAGGAGGAATATGGATAATCCATGATCTTTCAGAGTCTAGTTTAGGTTTTGTGTACAATCAGAAGGCCTGGAAGGGAGTCTGCTGACCTTGGTGTGACCTTGATCAAGTTATTTTCCCTCGCCTGTGCCTTAGTTGCTTCACATGTAAAGTGGAATACATTAAATGTTACCTGAGATTCTTTTTTTTTTTTTTTTTGGGTCAGTCGTGGAGCCTGAACTCTGGTCCTTGGCGCTGTCCCTCAGCTCTTCAGCTGTAGACTGGCGCTCTGCCTCTTGAGCCTCGGCCCCACTTCTGGCTTTTTCTGCTTATGTGGTGCTGAGGAATCGAACCAAGGGCCTCATGCATGCAAGGCAAGCACTCTACCACTGAGCCACCTTCCCAGCCTCAGGTTCTTTCTTTTAACATGATTATAATGTCTAAATGGAATGAGTCTTTTTGGACAGTAGGATAACTAACTTGTATGAGTGCTTTTCTCTCTGTATCAGAGGATTTTCAGGCTTTAACTGCCAGGGTGGTCTTTTAAGGGAGATAGGATGAGTCCCAAAGTTCAGGAGTTTATAACTAACAAATTACTGGCTGGAATTTACCCCACATCTGTTACAGACCCTAGAGAACAGTTTTTCTGCTGTGCCACTTTGATAGTTCCCATCTTTTTAAAGCCAGAAAAGATCTTTAAGGGATAAGGTGGAATTTGACTAGGACATTGCAAAGAGCTGCTGGGTTTAGAATTTAGTTTGTCTGTGATTTTTGTCTATATATTTGCTTCTCTTAAAAGAAAATTGTTAACCACCCTCTTCTTCTTCTTCTGCTCCAAGGACTTTTGTGCAGTGTGGAAGATGAGAGTGTAATAGATCTCTGTGTTGAAGGTAAGGTGAAATTGTGAGTACCTAGTATTTGAATTGTAGTGCTGATTACTTGAGGTTTTGATGAAATTGCCCATTTAGAGTAAGATAAGGAAAAGTCAGATTGTTGTCTGTAAATAATTCTATATTTTTTCTTGGGCAACTACGCTATGCTAAATACTGTATCAGGAATTTGGGATGCATAAATGGATAATATTTGGTTCCTACCCTCTGTGAATTTACAATCTGAAGAAGAGATTGGCTAGGTATCAATTAAAGTTACTAAGTGCCCTTAGAAACACACATAGAGGCCGGGCACTGGTGGCTCACGCCTGTAATCCTAGCTACTCAGGAGGCTGAGATTTGAGGATCACAGTTCAAAGCCAGCCTGGGCAGGAAAGACCGTGAGACTCCTATCTCCAATAAACCACTAGAAAACCAGAAGTGGCACTGTAGCTCAAGTGGTAGAGGGCTGGCCTTGAGCTGAAGAGCTGAGGGACAGAGCCCAGGCCCAGAGTTCAAGCCCCACGGCCGACAAAAAAAACAAACAAACATAGATAACAGTATTTAAATTACCGTTCATATTGGTTTGTTGAAAGTTGTCAGTACACAGTAGTGGAAGTGCATGTTAAAGGCTTGTAGAAGTGAGCACATTCTTGCTGAGACAGAGAAAAACTGTTGGTTAGAATCCAGAAGTCACTTCAGTTATTTGAACGCATACACACTTTAAAACAAAGCAAAAGTGGTGCTGTAGCTCAAGTGGTAGAGCACTAGCCTTGAGCTGAAGAGCTGAGAGACAGCACTCAAGCCCAGAGTTCAAGCCCTATGACTGACCAAAACAAAACAAAACAAAAAAATTATATTTGGGGCTGGGAAGGTGGCTCAGTGGTAGAGCGCTTGCCTTGTATGCTCGTGGCCCTGGGTTTGATTCCTCAGCACCACATAAGCAAAAAGAAAAAAAGCCGGAAGTGGCGCTGTGGCTCAGGTGGTAGAGTGCTAGCCTTGAGCTGAAGAGCTGAGGGACAGCGCCCGGGCCCAGAGTTCAGGCCCCACAACCAGACCCCCCCCAAAAAAAAACAAAGCAAAACAAACAAAAATCAAAGCAAACTTTTAAAGAACAGTTTAGATAATTGAAGAGAGAAGAAACAAACAACCACGTTTTTCTAGAGTTAGTAACTATAGAAAGAAGCTTCTGTACTTGATCTAAAGAAGCAAAGGGAAGAGGTTAGACTTGTTAAAACTCAGACTTGGAGGATGCTTCTTATATATGAAACTCAAGCCAGTAAGGAAGACAACTTAGATGCTGCTGAGTCTCTGTCTTCGTCTCATAGGACAGGTCCTACGGGACTGGGTCCAGACCTCTGAGGAAGGGCCCTGACCAGAGGATACTGGAGAAGAAGGATGCAATGAAGCTGATTCTGGAATAACTGAAAACTGCATCTACCCTGGAAAGGCACTTCCAGGGCAAAGAAGTTCTAGAATAATGATCATAGGAGTAAAACAGATAGTAAACTAACAAGGAAGCCAGAGGAAGCAAAGAAAGCAAGCCAGTCCTTTCTTCCTACAGCCTTAACATCTCTTTCTGGAGTTTATTATTGGTAGAGCTTAGAGGAGACAAACTAGTAGAGCAGAAATGTGATTTGCAGATTCCAGCTTCAATATCCCAAAGCAAAGTGTGTGTGTGTGTGTGTGTGTGTTTGTGTGTGTGTGTGTGTGTGTGTGTGTGTGTATGTGTATTTAGAGTTGAAAGACAATAGCATGATAATTGACTCTGTTCAATCCTTTGGCGCACAAACTTCTGCACATACCTGCACTATAGAATGACAAAAAAACTTTCTACTCCATGAGGGCTGGGGTATTGCTCAAGTGGTAGAGCATCTGCCTAGAAAGGCTCTCTGAGTTGTTCAATCTCATGTGTGTGTGTGTGTGTGTGTGTGTGTGTGTGTTTGCCAGACCTGGGGCTTGAACTGAGGGCCTGGGCATTGTCCCTGAGCTGCTTTTGCTCAGGGATAGCACTTACCATTCTAGGCAACCACTGCTGCCACTATGTCACATTCCCACCTATACCTTTTTTTTTGTCAATCCTGGAGTTTTAACTAAGGGCCTAGGCACTGTCTCCGAGCTTCTTTTGCTCAAGGCTAGCACTCTACCACTTGAGTCACAGAGCCATTTCTGGCTTTTTCTGTTTAGTGCTACTGAAGAATTGAACCTGGGGCTTCATGCATGCAAGGCAAGCACTCTACCACTAAGCTACATTCCCTGCCCCTCCCCAATATTGAAAAAAATACAAAACAGAAAGTTGTACCTAATAAACCACTTAACTTTATATATATTTCATGCCAAAAAGTTATTCTACCTTCAGTATAAGGGGATGAAAAGTATAAGGAGATGAAAAGTTCCAATAACAATTGCATTCATATCTGGGGTGTGGTAATTAGTTTTCAAATTTAGCAGCCCATCTGAATATTCCTGCCTGGGATGGTTTTGAATTGTGATCCTCAGATGTCAGCCTCCTGAGTAGCTAGGATTACAGGCTTGAAGCACGGGTGCCTAGCACCCAGGCTTAAGTGGACCTCTAATCCTATAGCCATCAACTTTTAGTTGTTGCTGCCATAGCTTGCAGAATCATCCTTAGGTACTAAGAATTTCCCCAAGGTGGCAGGCATGATAGGAAGACTGCCAGGGTCAAGAGAAGGACTAGGTGATTCTTCAGGGTCTCTGCTTCCTGTTTCTGAGAGTGTATATCCAGGAATGCTGCTTTGTCCTGTGCAAAGGCAGAACCTTCTCACAATGGCCATTAAATTGAATCTAACTCACAGATTTTCCAATGTTATAGAGCCAATTTCCTCTCCACTTCCCAATGATCCTTGTAGGAATACCATAAATGATTAGATTGAAGTACCCTTTGGGGCTGAGAAATAATATTAACTGGCATAGGAACTCTTTCATAATTATTTTTCTAATATATAAAAGAACAGACTGAAATGAAAAAAAGTAGGAGTAATTCAAATTGATAGTTTATAATCCTGACTTCAAAATAGATTTATAGGGGGCTGGGAAGATGGCTCAGTGGTAGAATGCTTGCCTTGCATATATGAGGCCCTGGGTTCGATTCCTCAGTACCACATAAACAGAAAAAGCTGGAAGTGGTGCTATGGCTCAAGTGGTAGAGCGCTAGCCTTGAGCTGAAGAGCTCCCAGGCCCAGAGTTCAGGCCACATGACCAAAGAGAAAAAGAAAAAGAGGAACTTCAGAAATATATTTATTAAGTTGTATATTTAGAGAAATATTTTTTTTTGGGTACGGTCGTGGGGCCTGAACTCTGGGCCTGGGCACTGTCCCTCAGCTCTTCAGCTCAAGGCTAGCGCTCTACCACTTGAGCCATAGCACCACTTCCAGCTTTTTTCTTTTTGCTTATGTGGTGCTGAGGAATCGAACCCAGGGCCTCAGGCATACAAGGCGAGCGCTCTACCACTGAGCCACCTTCCCAGCCCCTAGAGAAATATTTGATATAAAAATATAATACCCTAAAATATATAAGTATGTACTATATTTAAATATAAAAACATATACTTACATTTAAGAATATAACACAGTTGGTTGTATTCCTAGAAATTCTTTTTTTTTTTTTTTTTGGGTCCGGTCGTGGGGCCTGAACTCCGGGTCTGGGCACTATTCCTCAGCTCTTCAGCTCAAGGCTAGTGCTCTACCACCTGAGCCACATCGCCACTTCCGGCTTTTTTTCTTTTAGCTTATGTAGTGCTGAGGAATCAAACCCAGGGCCTCAGGCATGCAAGACAAGCGCTCAACCACTGAGCCATCTTCTCAGCCCTCCTAGAAATTCTGACTTAATCGGCCTGGAGTGGGACTTGGTCATTAGTATTTTCCTTTCTTTTTTCCTTCCTTTCCTCCCTCTTTTTCTTTCCTTTCATTCTCCATGCTGGTTATTGAACCCAGGACCTCACATATGGTAGGCAAATATTCTACCACTGAGCTATTGCCCCCCCTGTGTACGCTTTCAAAAATTCCTTGGTGATTCTAATATGCAGCCCAAGGTGAGATCCGCTAATATAAAAGGATGAAGACCTCCCCCACCCAAGTCCTTTCATTATGTGCACACATGTTTCATGGGAGAAATAGAAAAGGCTAATACCGCTGGGCGTTGGTGGCTCATGCCTGTAATCTTAGCTACTCAAGAGGCTGAGATCTGAGGATCGCAGTTCAAAGCCAGCCCGGGCAGGAGAGACCGTGAGACTCCTATCTCCAATAAACCACCAGAAAAACCAGAAGTGGCGCTGTAGCTCAAGTGGTAGAGCGCTCGCGTTGAGCTGAAGAGCTGAGGGACAGCGCCCAGGCCCAGAGTTCAAGCCCCATGACCGACCAAAAAAAAAAAAAAGAAAGAAAAGGCTAATACCTGTTACATCTCTGACTTTGAGTAGTGAGGTTGAGAGGTGAGTTCTGGGTCAGGCTATGTCTTCTGGTTAATAATGCTATTATGTCCCCTTAGTTGTTATCCAGCTTACAACACAGGTGAAGCTGGAGCAGATCACCCATTACCTGTTGGACAAGTGTCACAAAGAGGTTGGTACATAATTGTAGGTTTTCTTTTATTAGAGAGAGAGTGTGTGTGTGTGTGTGTGTGTATGTATGTGTATGGGGAAGCACCCGGGTTTGAACTAAGGGCTTATGAGGCAGGTAGGTGTCCTATCACTTGGGCCACGCCTCAAGTCCTTTGATTTTAGTTATTTTGGATAGAGGCCCAGGCTGGTCTAGACTGTAATTCTCCTATTTACACTTCCCACGTAGCTGGCATGACAGGAGTGTATGTCTAGCTATTGGTTGAGATGAAGTCTCACTAATTTTTTGCCTATTTTTCTTTGACCAATTCCGGGGCTTGAACTCAGGGCCTGGGCACTGGCCCTGACTGAGTTTCTTTCTTTTTCTTTTTTTGTCTGGTCGTGGGGCCTGAACTCAGGGCGTGGGCGCTGTCCCTCAGCTCTTCAGCTCAAGGCTAGCACTCTACCACTTGAGCCACAGCGCCACTTCTGGCTTTTTTCTTCTTGCTTATGTGGTGCTGAGGAATCAAACCAAGGGCCTCATGCATGTAAGGCAAGTGCTCTACCACTGAGCCACCTTCTCAGCCCCCTGGCTGAGTTTCTTTTGCTCAAGGATAGTACTCTATCACTTGAGCCACAACACCACTTCTGGCTTTTTCTGTTTATGTGGTACTGAGGAATCGAACCTGGGGCTTCATGTATACTAGGCAAGCACTCTACCACTAAGCCACATTCCCAGCCCTTACTGAGGTCTTGAATGGCAACCCTCCCAATCTCTGCTTCCCAAGTAACTGGATTTCCCACAATCCTCAGATCCTAGAGATAAGCCAATCTTTTTTTTTTTAAATAGATGAGAGATTGAAGTTCAGAGAAGAAAAAAAAAAGAGACTTAACTCACTGAGTGGAGCTTTTGAACCTGTTCTAGTATTCTTTGCAGCGTCCTTCCTTCCTTTTCACTGTCCTAAACTCTACTTTTATGCAATGAATACGCATCTTTCCAGTGTAATCAGCCCATGGCCAATTCTCAGTAGCTTCCTAAATAGCATACAGGCTTCCTTGATGAATTTGTCAAAGAAGTGTGTTTACTTTATGTTGGTTTGGTGTTTTTGTTTGTTTTTTTAATATGCATTACTTTGTACTGCATTTGCTTTTATGACCATTTAATGAAAGCATTGGGGATAATTTAATTTGCTTTCTTTGATATAGTAACAAAATATTCAACAGTGGCTTTTGTTTTCTGTTCAAGATTGAGGTGTAATACTAGAATCACTATTTTGCTGAAGGAAGAGCAATATTTAATTGTTTTTTTTTTGTGTGTGTGTTATTGGGGATTGAACACAAGGCTTCACACTTATTAGGCAGGTGCTTTACCACTTGAGCCATGCCTTTAGTCCCCTCTTTACATTGGTTATTTTTCAGGTAGGTCCTTGCATTATGTCTGGACTGGCCTGAGCTACAATCCTCCCACTGTGCTTCTCCATGTCACAGGGGATATCAGGCACATGCTGTTGCCCTCAGTAGCTGGGATAACAGATAAACACCACCAAGCACAGCCATTGGTTAACATGAATCTTTTAACTGTTTGTTCAAGCTGTCCTCTGATCTCTGCTTCCCAAGTAGCTAGGATTATTGGCTTGAGTCAATGCACCTGAAATTATACATTATATTTGAATCATATCATTTAGTTATTTTTCATGTGATTATATATCAGATTGAATTTATAATTATAGATATTATCATTTATTTTTGTTGATTGTGGGGCTTGAACTCTAGGCCTGGGTGTTGCCCCTCAGCTTTTCAGCTCAAGGTGAATGCTCTACCACTTGAGCCACAGTGCTACTTCTAGTTTTCTGGTGGTTTATTAGAGATAAAAGTCTCAAAGACTTTCCTACCTGGGCTGGCTTTGAACTGTGATCCTCAGGTCTCAGCCTCCTGAGTAGTTAGGATGACAGGCGTGAGCCACTGGCACCTGGCTATTATTACTATTATAGTGATGCCACAATATTTATTGAGCACTTACTATTTGCTAGGCAGTTAGATGACTTCTATGCAATATCTGTTTTTTTCTCTTTTTCTTTTTCTTATTTTTGAGATAAGGTCTCACTTTGTAGCTAGGCTAGCCTCAAACTTGTAATTCATCCACCTCACCTCTCAAGTGCTGTGACTATAGGCTATGATACCTAGTTTACATGCAGTGTTTTTCCACCAGAGACATTAAAAGTTATCAAGGTACATGTAGTCAGTAGAAAGGGTGAAATATATGCTACTTACCCTCCCAGTAAATTAACCAGATTTAGTTCCTGGCTCATAGAAACTGTTTACTAATAGTAGCAATAATAATATTATATAAATGTATATATATATTATATATAATACAGTGTTTTATCTTTACAATGTTTCTTTCATTCCCCAGTTTCTGGTTCTGTTGGAGGCAAAATATGTCATTTTTTCCTATTCTAAACCCAGAGCCTCATATACACTATTAAAGTTCTACCTCTGAACTACATCCCAAGACAAAATGTGCTAACATTAACTCATGTACTAAGCTAGGTTCTGAGAACTCTGAGAGGAATTTGACTCATTACTTTCCCCTAAGACTTCACAGTTGAATGTGAAAAAACAGACATGTTAAGAAGCTGATGGGAAAGAGACATGCATAATATAGGCCTTGGTGTGGGTAGGGAAAGATCTGACCTGATCCTGACAGAGGAGTATGTTCACTTTCTGTAGCTGTGCAACACGCCCTCCATGCGAGGTCGTCTGGCCACCATGACTCTTCTTGGCAAGTTGGTGGACGCTATCCCTGCTCTGGCAGATGACCTTGTAATGGAGCACAGTAAGTAACCTATAGGAAACAGTGGCTTCTAATCTTTGCCTGGTATCTGGGTGACTCATTTGTTGTATATACCTGGAAAGTCATTATGCTATTACTTTCCTCTAGCCTTTAGTTTTCTCATCTGCAAATGTGTTTTATGTTGATCAATTTGAAAAAGTTAGTTCCTTGACTCTGATCTTGTGTGCTCCTCTCTCTCTCTCTCTCTTTCTCTCTCTCTCTCTTGCTCTCGCTCTCTCTCACTCTCTCTCTCTTTACATAGCGTCTTACTTGTGGCCCAGATTGGCCTCAAATTTGTGATCTTCCTTTCTCAGCTTCCCAAATTCTGTAAGATGTGTGTTACCATATCTGGTCCTCTATTCACTTTTTTTTTTTTTCATTACTAGGATTGAGCCCAGGGCCTCAGGAATCCTGGGTGAGCACTCTCCTGCTTAAATCATGCCCCAAGCCCTATGGTTTTTATTTTGTTTCTTTTGAGATAGAGTCTCACTAACCTTGCCCAGGCTGGCCTTGAACTTTGGAGACTCCTGCTTCTGCCTCCTGAGTAGCTGGGATTATAGGCTTGTGATATCATGCTCATTAGTTTAATACAGACTAATTAAGGACCTACTATGACCTCCATTTTTTTTAACTTTTTAGAACTGCTAATTGGTATTTTTATTTTATTTATTTTTTTAATTTTTATTTTTTATTGTGAACATACTGTACAGAGGGGTTACAATTACATGGGCAAGATAATGAGTACATTTCTTATCAAGCATTGCAGCCT